TAACCAGAGGAGCTGTGGTGCTAAGATTGCAGGGTTCGATCTTTCGATCTGAAGACGGATCGGTGTGTCATTCTCCGCCACAACGATAGTTACCATCACCTAATGAAAGATTGGGATCCCTGTTCCCATTAAAACACTGGCGACGGGCGATGCTGGAGGAGATGAAGGTGATCGAGGAAAACAAGACTTGGCAGCTCATCGATCCACCTTTAGGATACCGTCCGATCAGCCTAAAGTGGGTGTACAAAATCAAGCGGGACGAACACAACGCCATTGTCAAGCACAAGGCACGCCTCATCACCCGAAGCTTTGTCCAACGCGAGGGCATCGACTTCGAGGAAGTCTTTGCGCCGGTAGCGCGCATGGAGTCTATTCGTTTGCTACTAGCTTTGGCAACAGCAAAGAACTGGCGCGTCCATCACCTGGACATTAAATCGGCATTCCTCAATGGCGAGCTGGCAAAGACGGTCTTCGTCAGACAACCTCTGGGTTTTGCCATCAAGGGAGCGGAGCACAGGGTGCTCCAACTGCGCAAGACGCTCTACGGGCTACGGCAAGCCTTACGAGTGTGGAATGCCAAGCTTGACGCCATGCTAAGCGAGCTTGGGTTCACAAGGTGCGCAATCGAGCACACACTCTACACGCGGCGACGGGGGAAGGAGGAGCTCGTCGTCGGCGTGCATGTCGACGACTTGATCATCACCGGTGCACGTGCGGAGGACATCGACAACTTCAAGCATGAGATGGCGGCTTGTTTTCGAATGAACGATCTCGGCGTGCTCTCCTACTACCTTGGCATCGAGGTGAGATAGGGAAAGGAGGCACTCACGCTCGGACAGAGCACGTACGTCTCAAAACTGTTGGAGCGGAGCGGCATGGCTGAGTGCAAGCCATGCGTGACTCCGATGGAGGAGCGGCTGAAGCTGACGAAGGCCAGTACCACGGTGAAAGTAGATGCAATACTCTATCGGAGCATCGTCGGTGGTCTACGCTACCTAGTCCACATGATGCCGGACGTTGCGTTCGCCGTGGGCTACATTAGTCCCTTCATGGAGGATCCTAGAGAGGATCACTGGGCTGCAGTGAAGCGGCTACTGCGCTACATCAAGGGGACTGTGGATCAGGGGATCGTCTTCCCTGAGACCGGCGGAACTAGGCTGCAGCTCACTGTGTTCAGCGATGCAGACATGGCGGGGGACATCGACAGACGGCGGAGCACCTCTAGCGTGCTCATCTTCCTCGGGTCGGCTCTAATTTCATGTTTGTCGCTGAAACAGAAGGTGGTGGCGCTATTTATGTGTGAGGCAGAGTACGTAGCGGCGGCCATAGCGGCGTGCCAAGTAGTGTGGCTGCGTCGGCTGCTGGGCGAGCTGACCGGTGTGGAAGCTCACCCACCAGCACTGATGGTGGACAACCAGTCCGCCATCGCCCTCGCGAAGAATCCGGTTCTCTATGGCCGGAGCAAGCATATCGACGTAAAGTTCCACTTCCTCAGGGACTGTGTCGATGGAGGGCAGATCGTCATCGAGTTCATCGAAACTGGTTGGCAACTCGTGGACGTCCTCACCAAGCCGCTCGGCTGTCTTCGACTCACGAAGCTGAAGAAGATGATCAACATAGTGGGGGTTATAGGGTTAGCAGCAGGATTAGGGGAAGATTGTTACATAATCTGTTGCATCCCTGTGTGAACACACGACAAGGGAAGGCGGCGCCGAAAAGGCTCCCTGCTGTGGTACTGTAGCCGCTGCAGGGGCAGACGCCGAACGGCTCACCTGCCGCACTGTAGCCACAGCAGGAGCAGGCGCTAAAGTCAGCCCTGCTGTGTTATCTAGTCATTATTGCAGCATGGCAGCTGTAATAGGACTAGATGGATAGAGTTGTATATATAGTTTGCCACTGCAACTCAGTAAAGAGAGGGAGTTTAGATTTACCATCTCCTATATAGAGCTCCGACTAACGCTGATGTCTCTGCTGTGTGTGTATGCTCTGTTCTCCTTCCCTTCTTCTATCTCTAGCCATAGTGTGTGATCGGACAACGATAGTCGTGGTCGGCAAGACTGATGAATGGTCGACTCACCTGAGCCGGTGATCCTGCGTGGACCAACAAGAGATGATCCAATGTGGGGCCAACATGCTTCCCCACCAGATTTTCATTCACGGAAAGGAGGCTCCAGCGAGCTGGAGAGTGTTACAGAGTTACAAGTGAGAAGGTATGTAGCTACGCCAGTCGTTCAGACTGTTTACAAAATCATTTCGAAGGCGCTTTCGTCACAGATTCGGATTATGATCAACCGGCTATCAGCGTATTCTCCACGAAAGATTTCACCATTCCTGGCATCCCATAGGCGCCAGAGTATAGTAAGAAGAACAAATGGACACAGCTTAGCATCCAGACCTGGGGGTGTGGCAAAGTTCCAGACATCTTCATCAGTTAGAGAAGAGACACTGCCGATAGAAAACATTTACGGTTATTATAAATAATTTTTCATATTTGTATTACCATAAAAAAAAGTACGAGTGCAGGATGTGACCAAATCGCAGCACTACAAGATCTCTCTGTTCGTAAATCATAATATGCAGCTAGCTGTATCAACTTGTTCTAACTTCCCTTAACGAAGCATGTGCCAAGCACGCTTTTGAAAAAAATAATATGCGGCTAGCCTAGCATAAATTTCCAAGTAATTAGTCCGAGGAGAACAGTCACAGTGATATTATGGTTGCAATCTATAAATCTGCATCATCAGAATTTAATAAGGCCTCGGTACCTCAGGAAGGTCTGGGATTGAACTTGTCATCATTTTGTCAGTTCGAGAATCACCATAGCCGTCTTGTTGACAGGATGATCTCTTTCTTTTACCTGTCGATGAGGCAATGAGTCGACCTGCGACACAAAAAGAGGAGATGGTTATGGTAGTCCGGACAAATGTGTAGAAGAAAATCAGAAAAGGCACTCAATCTCTCGAGATCTCCCTAAAAACAAATCTCGCCTTCTCTCTCTGGAACCTATGAAGGGTCATGGGTGTCACCCGACCGCCTGAATCGAAACTCCCCTGTTGCTTCCTCGTGCCAAAAAAAAGACAAAATTCAAAAGGAGCTATCGATCAGGGGGGAGAAAGGCAACAATTTTACATCTTAGGTACTCCACTAATGAGATGGATCATCATCTTTTTTTTTTATGAAAAGAAAAAGATTATGAACTGAAGAAAACATGGATGGAGCTAAACGTTGGGAGGGCGAGGGAGGTGTTAGGAGGAAGGAGACTTACGCCAGGCTCGTTTCTGCAGCCAGTGACGAGGCCGCCGCCGATGGCGCTGCTGGGACGTAGGCTTCCCCATCGAAGACACGACGCCTTCCTTCCTCCCTTGAATCTGACCGAGAAGTCACTTCTGTTTTGATCTGAACTAGCCTGCGTGCGGAGAGGAGACAAAAAGCAACAATCAACCGAGCCCTATCCCTAGTCCCTAGCTATAAAAGTGAGTCCGCGACCCGCGCGTGCAGCAGAAAATTGGGTGCCTTCACGGTCGCGCGCAAAAATGACGTAGGCCTGTGGGCTCAAAGCGGCCCAGGAGAAGAGATCCTGTGGGCCAGCAACGCTGACGCTGCTTCTCTCAGACGTCAGAGGCAGACCAACAGGCACGACTATGGGCCCAAAACAAGAAAAGGAATACTAAAAATTTTCATTGCTCATGCGAAAGGGCACGTAGCCCGGTGGTCAAGAGGCTCAGTAGCACTCATGTTCTAGGTTTAACTCTCACGAGAGCGATTTTTTTAGAATTTAACAGCATTGTGCTTTCAGTAGTAGACGACGTTCCTCTCGACAGAGAGACGTCCGTGGTGACTTCCTCGGAGAACCCAAACCCTAACCTTGTCAAAGCTGTCATAGGGGTCGGAGAAGACGTCAGTGTTGAATCATAGGTACAAGGCCTGTATACTATACGACGCAAGTGGCACGGAGATGCCAAGCTCTAAAAAATTAAAGCCTCACTAATCAGTAATTAAAGGCCCAATTAGACTCCTTGCCGCAGCCCACACGAGCACCGATTGACATTCACCAATGCAGCTCCAATCCATTGGCCATCACAACCTTCCCAGCTTCCAACTTCCAACTTCAGACTCCACCAGCTCCGCAACTGCTCGTACTCGGCAACTCGTCTTCGGCCTTCCAACTTCCAAGTGAAGATTAAGCCATCAGTGGCGGATCCAAAAACAAGGCAAGAGGGGGCTGGGTTTTATGATGTCTGGCGAGTGGGGCTTGGCCTTCTAGACCAGAGTTTTCATGGGCTGTTGGAGGAGAGAGAAAAATAGTAGTAGTCACATTGTTTTGGATCTTGTTGACGACCAAATTGGGACCAAGTCAATTTTTGAATTAGCTAATGATAGTTTGGTACGGAAAACTCTATAAAGGGACATAAGAACAGTACCACATTGATTTCTGACGGGATAAGATTACCCCTACTCCTTATAAAATATGGGGTACATAGTCGATTGAGGTATCCAACATCCAATCGTCGTTTTTACATCTACTACCCTATTTTACCCTTTTCCAACCCCTTTGATGTTCATTGCATCTCTTCGCGAGATTCATTTGTGTTCTCAGTGGCCTTGCTGACCCTAACAACCCTAGACGTGCTGCTCCTTGATGGGTCCTCCTGAGAGGTGTTCGCAGTCTTTTGCGACAAAGGACGGGCTTTAGATCAGCCTAACCGGTCTCGAGATCGGTTTAGTCGATCCCAATAATTGCTTGCTGCGTGTTTCAGGTTGTTTGCAACCTAGGGCGTGCTAGCCCTTGCTGGTGTGTGATTTGGATCACAATCTAATGTTAACACATTTTTTGACGACTCCGCTTGGAGAAGAAGAAGAAGATCAATCAAGAAGGCCATATGGCATACTTTATCGCTTATATTTCCATACTAGTATCACTATTCCTGGCCGTGGCTTTGTGCATCTAGTTGATCTACCTGCTTGGGCCTTTCGCCTGTGCAGCGGTCTCATCGTGGTGAATGGCGAAGCTCAACCATGGTAGCAGGGACAAAACTGACAGCATGGCAAACATGATGGTAGCATTGAACATATTCTATTCACCTATTATCTTCCAAGGCGCCATGTTTGGGGTACTGCTCCTCACTATAGGCATCAGCCTTAGAGTCGTGGCCATCCACCTCCATGCACTAGAGCAACTTCTGAAGGAGTGCGGCAAGGACGCCATCCACAGGTACCTCTACCATATCAGCGCAAAATGCAGAAAGGATCCTCTATCCATCAAGCAGAAGTCTGGGTGAAGTTTCAGTAACTCTTTCCACTAGAAAGAACCTACAGGGCTTCTTGCATGAGGTGGTGTATGGGTATTGGCATAGAATTTGTCTTGTTTTTTTTTTGACTCAAAACAGGAGGGGTGGGAGCCCTACTCTGCTTTGTTGCAAAATAAAAGGTTGAGTTCAGGTTACAAAATCACAAAACAATTTTTTTTGTTCGCTTGTCACTCTGACGATGTGACTTCCCGCTTTATTTTAGACATAGTCACTTGTCCCGTTGTCCGTTAGTTTATTGGGAGAGCTTTGCTATGGTACCTCTAAATAACTGTGGGGCCGTCGATCTTGATGACTATAATAACATACTACCTCCTAAGAGGTAATAAGATAATTTTTTTTTTGAGAAATAGGAAAGTAAGCAAAATTTTAGGTAAAATATCTGTCAATTGGATCTAATGTACATGCAACCTCATGCTTTTGTGTGGTTGGTTCCATTTCTTTTGAAGTCCTAACGTGACATGTGATGCTTTTTTAATTAATTGACTTATTATGTGCAGTTGCAATTGATGCCAAGGTTATTTGTATCTAAACGTCAGTTGTATTTTTTGTATGGATGTAGCAAAAGTAGAGGTGTGTTTTAGTTGTTTATTTAAAGAAATTGGAACTTGTTAGCATTTAAATTATTTATTTATTTATTTGTCTAATCCTGACATTAGTATTTTTATGACTTAGTATATTGCAAATGTATGCTGGTAACATTAGTATTTTTATAATCCCGACATTAGTATTTTTATAATTCCGACATTGGTATTTTATAATCAGTCATTAGCTTTTGACACTTATTTATTATTTATTAGATTTGTACCGTCAGATATGTTCATGTACGTGATGTACCTCCACGGTGCCACGTCTGGCACGGGCACGAGGCCGCTACACCAGTTTGGAATATGGCGCTGTTGCATGCGTATATGCTCATGCTGTACACGCGCACGCGCATATATGGTAAGAAACGAGCTATTCTTGAAATAGATATCGTGTACACATTTGTTAGTTTGTTGCCTTTTTTGTTTTATTTTTTTTCTAAATATCTTAATTAATTAGTAATTACTTAATTATTGCATGCACTTCAAAAATCAATGGCTAAGATTTATTTGAGATCTTACCTCCTATGGAGTACTAGTTGTACCTTAGCAAGACCTTTATTGGCAGGGTAAGAAGAGTACTCATGACCCACCCAATGAGAAAATAGAATCTGCATGCATCTGAGTCAAGATGAATATGAATAGAATTTGAAATGACAATTTGCAGGCAGGTAGGAGTAGGTACTGGCAAGAAGGTGGTTGGTTCAGAAAGGTTGGAATGAAAATGCACCGTACCAGGCACCACTAAACTTATATCTACCCATGACCCATCCATATTATTATTTGTGACCTCGCCATAGGCCTTTCAAAGAAACAGATCATGCTTATCTTGCACTACTAAGAAACATGTGATGATTGACCTTTCCATCTGTCAAGATGGCCTAGATTCTCAACAATAATTATATATATATAATGAGTACAAAAATTTGTCAACCAGTTTGTTTCATCTATCACCATGTGCGCGGACTTGAGAGCAAAAAGAGAATAATACCATGCCTGCATGCCATGACACGTAATAACCAGTAGTAGAAGTGGGTGTGCATTGATTTTCAACAATAATTATATATTAATGCATTGATATACTTAAATGATGTGGGTCACACAATCGGAGATGTTCACTACAAAGACCCTGCCATGACACGTAATAAACCAGTAGTAGTGGGTGCGCTCCACTTGTTTTATTGTAACGACTAACGAGACTACCATTTGTAGTTATATTTGTATGAACTTTGGTTTGTAACGATTTCATCCATACCTATTTTGTATGTATGGTATTCCAAAGGGGTCAGTCCGAACCATGAAACTATATATGTTATAGCTTCCATACTTGCCAACTAATATAGATACTGTCCATGAAACTATACTCCCAACGAATATTTTATAGAAATAAAATCTTCATCCAATCATTTGTACATCTTCTCTCTCCTATCATCCATCTATTGATCACAACTCTTTGTAACTTGGTTCTCATGTAGACATGGTTTCTAGTATGAGAAACCACCATTATCTGTTCTCTTTAACTCTAATGCCACATAATCGTTTTGTCTACTTGTATTCTCGCACTCATTAAGGTCCTGTTTGGCACACCTCCACTCCACTAGTGAAGTGTTTTTTTAGCTCCACGAGCAGCTCTACCAATAAAGATGAAGCTATTTTGTCGAACCATTTGGCAAAACACCTATATATGTGAAGCTCCATAAAACATCATCTCACATAATCCTACGTAGGGTCCACCACAACGAGTGGAAGCTAGGACAAGCTACTATTTTTAGCTCCATCTCTCATTCACCCCTTATGAACAAGTTTTAAAGAATTCCTCACGTGAAGCTATTTCATTTTATTTCGTTTAGCACAAAACAACTTTAAACACACAGGTCCCGGAGTTTGCAGAGGAGTTATGTTAAAAACTTGGCCTAAGCCAATGCAACTAGTATATGTTGGTGTAGCAAGTTTTAAGGAATTCCTTACGTGAAGCTATTTCATTTTATTTCGTTTAGCACAAAACAACTTTAAACACACAGGTCCGGAGTTTGCGGAGGAGTTATGTTAAAAACCGGGCCTAAGCCAATGCAACTAGTATATGTTGGTGTATTCTCGATCTCGAACGGACTGATATCATATTTGAACCAGTAATGAAGTAGGTTGTTGTCTCATTTCCTCGGCGTGAATGAAATAACTAAAGACCCCAACCAACTAGTCAGGCCGGCCGTCAAGGAGTGTAAACAAAGCAAGGCCAAGACAAGCAGGCACATGTCATGAAAATTGAAACATATCATATTATATATAAAATAAAAAATAGGAGTGTCGGCCTTCCACACATATTTAGTACTCTCTCCATTTCAAATTACAAGACATTCTAACTTTTTGCTTGGAGAGTCAAAGCATATCAAGTTTGAGTTAAATTATAGAGAGAATTACAAAAATTTATGACATTAAATGGGTAAACTATGAAATAATCTAATGATACTTATTTGATATCATAAATGTTATTATTTTATCATATAAATTTGGTTAAAGCTGAGATATTTTGACTTCATAAGAAATTTAGAATAACTTATAATTTATTACTATGGGAGCAAGTAGGCTCGTGAGAGCAAACAAAGAGCCAGTATTCCTACTTTGCATCTCCCAGTCGTCCAAGAACATTAGCTAGCGTGTCTTTTTATTTATCCCCCATTTCATGGATCTTCTTCACCCCTGAAGCTTCGTTCCACGGGCGAAGCCCAATGAAGGTTAAACTGGGCTCCGCCCCCTTCTCCGAGACGAATTTATCAAGTCCTCTTGAGCCCACGCAAAGAAACTAAGAAAGCCCAATTTTAATTTATAAGAAAAAATTCCAAAAAATTATGGATTTTTACTCCTCACGCCCAGGATTATAGCCCAGACTAGAACAGGTGAGCGGAGGCCGGAGGCCGGAGGCCGCAGTCACGCACTCACGCTCGACCGCGTCTCTGCTAGTTCGCCTTCGCCATGGCGCCGCGCCGCCGCCAGCAGAGCAGAGAGCGCAGCCGCCCTGCTCGCGACTCACCGTGACGCCGTCGTCCTGCTCCTGCATTCTTGCAGCGTTGGTTGCCGGTCGCCGCATCGTCGCCACTCACCACACTTCTCCCGTTCTCTGCTCTCCCCACCACGCCGGCACAGGCCGCAACGGCGCAGTCCGTACCCTGCAGCAAACCAGCAACGCTAGCACTAGCAGTAGCAGGACTGCACTCTGAATGACAGCAGGAGCACTGCTAGCCTACAGGTTATTTCTTCAATCTCCAATCTTTTGCTCTATTTCTTTTCATGTTTAGTTTTGCTAGATTCAGATTGAAATTGAATAGATGTAATTTGTTAATTAGGTAGCAAAACAATGGTTCGTCTGAAAACTCCTTCGAGATCAAGATGAATCAGATGTTGGGGAAGAGGAAGAAAATCGTCTACGTTTGAGAAATTGAATCAGATGTTGAGATCAGTAGCTGCTGTTATTCTGTTAAGTGGCTAATATGTCAGACGTGTGTTGGGGAAGAGGAAGAAAATCGTCTACGTTTGAGAAATTGAATCAGATGTTGAGATCAGTAGCTGCTGTTATTCTGTTAAGTGGCTAATATGTCAGACATGTGTGTTCGGGAAGAGGAAGAAAATCATCTACGTTTGAGAAATTGAATCAGATTTCGAGATCAATAGCTGCTTTTATTCTGTTGAGTGGCTAATATGTCAGACATGTGCTTTTAGAGGTCACGATGAGACACCTCAGTCAAAAAAAGAAAAAGAAGAAAAAAAACAGAGGAAACTTTGTTGAAATGGCTCTGACTAAAAAACAGAGGTAACTTTGTTGAATAGACAATTTGGCCCCCCCTTGCGTTTGGGCCACGCTCCTCCACTGCTTCGTTCCATATATTTCTAGCAGGAGCAACAAGTACTCTAGTTTTCAGTCCCAAGCGCGTGCGCGAGCTCGCTAGGCTTCCAGTCAATAGCTAGTGGGATATGACGGCTGAGAGTGTCGTCGAAGGAGAGGGGAGTAACGGCGGTGCATCCGGCGAGCAGGAGCGGCGGCCTTCTGTTACCACGCGCGGCGTCTTTCGAGCGGCGTTCAGCCGCGCTATGGCTCGTCAGGCTGAGGCTCGGGCTCGTCGGTCGGCGTACGCCCTCGCTGGGGCGGCGAACGCCCACACTCGGGCCTACGACTATGCTCTGACGTACGCACACGTTCGGGCGTACGTTTCACTACTGGCTGTGAAGGGCTCAGGCCTCGTGGCTCTCTTGTTGTCCGCGGTTGTCCTTGGTGGGTACGTCCAGTCGCTGAAGAAGGAGGATTTCTTCTGCATCATGGCAATTGCCGTGATACAGACAGCCGGGTGAGTAATCTCCTCGATCTATTTTTCTCCCTTCTCTCTGTAAGTACGTTGTACGTATTTATTTCCAATACAAGATTCACAAGACTACATATTATACAACAGTTTTGTATACCTTACAATAACATGCAAGTTTTGTTTTGTTTCTAATACTAAGTGTATGGCCGCGTGTGCTGCAACGCTTTTTTTTAAGACAGCAAGAGATTTACCATATTTCTTATTCGACAAGAGAACAATAAAAAACACACACGTTACAACTTCACCACTTGGTCCAATTAGGGACGAGTCCATCCAAAAAAAAACTTCAAAACTGAGAGAAGAGAAAAAACGAAGGGCAACGGTAATTATTCGCCACACTAAGAACACAAAAGAAAAAACATGTTGTTTTGGAATTACTCCTAATCACTTTGTTAGCTGAGCATTCACTTTTGTCTGATCGACCAGATTGTTGTAGCACTCGGTTTTAAGAACAAAACCACATACACATCATATGTGAGTCTAGAAAGTCAAATCTCATATATAACTACAAATAAGGGTAATATCGAAAGATAATGCTCAATATATAACCTACTTAGTATAAAGGATATAATCTTAGACAGTAAACAGCGAAAAGACAACTCCGATCTTCGGGTGAAGACTCCAATTTCACATGAACAACTGACTAGTTGATCACAAGCCTAATTCCTTCAAACTCTAGCCATCTGGTATCCATCCGAGATTTTTATCCAAATAATTGAAAAATAAAGTAAGCGTAAGTACGTGTCATACTCAACAAATATAACATAGGGTTCATAAGGCTCAAAAGGCTGACACTGGTTCAACTGCGATTAGCTTTTAATTGTCACAATTTTAGCATAGGGGTTGCAACAAGTATATCACAAGCCCATATAAACACATGATCAGGTAAATATGAATAATGAATAGAATAAACAATTAACCATTAATGAACATCTTTATTATTAGTATCATCAGTATTCATCATCTATTCCGTAAGGGTTCCAAGGCCGCTCGTGACCGTGAGCACGGCTGATATACCAGTTTTACACTCTGCAGAGGTTGTACACTTTCACTATGAGTCGTGATTTACTCTTTCGCTCGAGGCAGCCAACCTCTTGACCCACTACCAAGGAAGGTCGGCATGGTTCACTATGAAGCCTTTCAAAGGTTCATCTAACAAGTTAGGGCCATTAGATTCACTCGGCAAACAGATGTAGAATCCCCCTGTCGAATGCCATAATTCCATCATGGCTATACACATAAGAGTAGAGGCTGTCTTATACCCGATTCGTCAAGCCATCTTACGCCATAAAGGTAACCACTAACAAGCTAGAAAATGTCCTCATACTGAGCTAAAGCCAGAGCCATGTAACCTTCACAGTTGTCCTGTAAGTCCCGAATGATCACTTATAGATAAATCCTTAGGGAGAGGAATCTGAAGCATTTAGAAAGTAGCTAAATACTTCAGCCCTCTATTTCCAAGTTGCTAAAAAGTCAAGTTTTAATGTTTATTGCATATACCATTAGTCAAGTTATAAGATTATGGTTGTAGTTGAGCACTAGTGTCGGGGACCAATACTAGGGTACCCAAAGAGGAGAAGCTAATGATCATCAACATTGATTCATCCGCGCGATCAAGAGCGCGACTGCGCCGCTTGCCGAGCTCCGCCTCGCTCGGCGTCTGAGGGCTAGCTCCGCCTCGCTCGATGTCTGAGGGTAGACTCCATCTCGCCCGACACCCGAGGGCTGGCTCTGCCTCGCTCGACGTCGGAGGGTGGGCTCCGCCTTGCCCGATGTCTGAGGGCTGGCTCTGCCTCGCTCGACGTCCGAGGACGGCCTCCGCCTCACCTGACGTCTGAGGGCTGGCTTCGCCTCGCTCGATGTCTGAGGCCTGACGCCTATGACGACATTACCACAATACCGACCCAGGAATCAGGCGAAGCAGATAAGGCAAGACGCTCAAGTCAACCAACAATACCAAGGACCGTACCCTGCATGCCTGTAGGATAGTACCGTCAGGCCATGCCAGAAGGGTGCTTTGCAACCTTCCAGGCATGTCAGAGCCGAAACAGTATTGTAGGCGCTAACATTTGCCTTATAGTGTTGTGGGCGCCGTCATTTACCCTCGGGCACGGATCCTTACGGAAGCCCACGACAACCACTTCGGTCCAGAAGGAAACTCGCATCACCCACAGTAACGGACATACAGTCACTGTGCTGCCTACTCCCTGTATAGCCGCTGATCAGCATGTTGGTCCGCCGCGCCACCCGCCGGGGCGAGATGGGATGTGACAACTCGCTGATAATGCTAGGACTTGGTGTCGTTAGCGGATAGACGCCTAGCGTGGTCCTATCAGGGTCAATGGACATACGCCCAACGTGGGGCTGTCCCTGTCACCGCCTGCCATGTCAGCGAGACCCGCACAAAGGAAAAGGAAGACCCGGCATCCTTGAAGGACTTCCTTTGCCTCTCAATTTCCTTTCTTCTCCCATTTGTAATCCATGCTCTCCCTTGGCCTGTAAAAGGGAGAGCAGGCCACCCCACTAAGGGGATTAATTCACCGCATCACACATCACAGCAGAAACACTAGCATCGAACCTCAAACACATAGCCGAGCAGCGACCTAGCTCTTGACACCCATTCGATCTTTCCATCAGAGACTTGGGACCTGTCCCTCTCTCGCCCGTTTGTAACCCCTACTATGAACTTTTCAGTGCTAATAACATGAGCAGCAGCCACGAATTGGACGTAGGGACATTCTGTCCAAACTAGTATAAATCTTGTGTTTTTTAGCACACCATCCGGGCCAGACGTGTAATAACACAAATTTACTCGTTGGTGTTTACTCAAAACACCGACAGTTGGCGCGCCAGGTAGGGGGATTTGCACGTCCCAACATTAACATCAGGCCACGGATGGCTAGTCATGGCATCAGCTAGGTCCCGGGCGCACACGTGCTCTTCAGGGACCTAGACTTCATCGTCACGGTGGAGGGAGAGCTGGTGCGGGCATCCGTTGTCGTCCAACCCTTCCACTCCACCGGCCTCGATGCGATCATCGAGATGCTCGAGGAGCTACAGCTTATCGGGGGAGAGCCATGCTCCGTAGAATACCTCACCCGAAGCGCCCCGACAGTGCTCCCGTTCGGTCTCTGCAACGTCGCAGAGACCGTTGGCCACCTTGTGGCATAACGCATGATCCCGTCCCCCATGAACAATGAGTTCATAGGGGTGATCGAACACGTCATGGAGTCTTTCCACGACCTCCTCGCAGAGGAGCCGGAGTCGCCCTCTGGCTCTGACTCCAGCAGGGGCAGCCATCACCCCTCTCGTGAATGCTTCATGATAGGTTCCTCCGAGGGACATGTCGAAAGCATCCATGAGGAAGAGGCTAACCCGACGAACAACCTCGATGATGAGGCCGAGGGGGAGACGGCGGCCCCACCTCGCGTACGAGTGGAGCAGCTAAAAACCCGACACCAAGAGGTCGAGGAAGCGCGACTCTAGCTCGAGCAAGAACGCGCGGAGCTCGATCAGGAGATCGAGCGCCACGGAGACGGTGGGCGCGCACGCGCCATGGTTCGTGACGTGAACCGGAGGATCATCACCGATGAAGAAGCCCTCCCTCGCTTCGCTTGGGCGAGCCAGAACATCGCCGATGTGCGCGGCCTTGCTCCGTGGTCTTCCAGAGGCCGCGACACCCGAGGATCGTTGGGCCCACCACGAGATTCGCACGCGTGCGGCAGCGTAGCAGACAGAGAGCTCGTTGTCTCGGTGACGTGAGCTTGACACCAGCCAGCCCACGCCCTCGGAGCGCCCTGGTAGGGACGCGTCGGTCTACCAGGAGCCACAAGGAGGTAGGCAGCGCACCGCGGTTCCGGTCCATCAGCGTCTCGACCACAACCGTGACGCACGCAACACCCTCAACGCCTGTAGGCGTACTTACGATGACTCAAGAGAGGGAGCTAGCCATGGCTATCACCCTCGTCATGGTGGACGCTACGACAACGGTGAGGACCAAAGCCCAAGCCCCGGCCAGCCGGGGCCTCAGGCCTTCGGGCGACACATCCTCAACACTGCCTTTCCGCCAAGGTACCGACCACCAACCAACATCCCAAAGTACTCTGGGGAAACGAACCCCGAACTATGGCTCGAGGATTATCGACTTGCCTACCAAGCCGGTGGAGCAAATAATGATGATTTCATTATCCGCAATCTTCCATTGTTCTTGGCCGATTCGGCACAAACTTGGTTGGAACACCTTCCATCCAACAGAATCCAAAGTTGGGCGGACCTGAAGGAGATCTTTGTGGGAAACTTCTAGGGCATATACAAGCGCCCTGGAAACCCGTGGGACCTCAAGAACTATTGATAGAAGGCCGGAGAAACCCTCCATGGGTACATCCGGTGCTTCTCCCGGTAATGCAACGAGCTACCTAACGTTGCCGATGCCGACGTTATAGGAGCTTTCCTCTCGAGAACCACCTATGAGTCCCTGGTTCACAAGCTGGCCCACGAACCACCAAGGAACTCCTCGACATCGCCACCAGCCATGCCTTGGGTGAAGAAGCAGTCGAGCAATCTTCGACCGCCTCAAGGGCAAGGCGAGGTGGGACGAGGACGCCGGCAAAGGCACCTCCAATCGTTCTGCCAAAAAGAACAAGCAACGACGTGAGGGCTCGCTTGTGGCCGTCGCTGACCGCAGGGGTGGTCAGAAGCCCACGGAGGGCACTCTGAACCACTTCAAAAAACTACTCGAGGGGCCATGCCCGAACCACGCCTTCCCCGTCAAGCATCTGTACAAGGACTGCGGCCTCATGAGGCGGTTCTTGTTCGAAGGCTCCAATAAAGGGGAGCACGGGAAGGACCCCGACCTGACCACAGATGACGCCGAGGAGAAGGAGGGTGGCTTTCTAACGCCGGATGGCTGCCTCATGATCTTTGGAGGGTCGGTGGCCTATGACTCCAAGCACCGCCAGAAGGTCACACGCCACGCCTACCTTCCTCCAG